CTACAAGGAGGAAAGTGGCAACTGTCACATCAGACACTCAGAGAGGAAATCCTTAGTTTCCAGGATTTACTGTATGGTCTTGTGGGTTCTTCTTCTACCCATTCTCAGCTCTCTTCTCCTAATGACCTTTTCCCTAGTCTAACACACCCTCATTTCATCACATTCCCTCTAAACAAAAGTCCATACCCAGAATTTTTGAGACCCAGTTTGATTTTCCAACTGTTCAGTGGGCATTTGTGCCGAGATGTTCCACCAACATCTCAAGCACAATATACCTAAAACTGAACTCAAACCGAAATGGACGGTTCCCTCTTTCAGTCCCTCTGAATGTTGTCTCAAAGCCTTGAAGTCATCAGCTTTGTCTCTTCTGGCTTCCAAGCCCATGCAATTTCTCCACAATATTCCTATTCCTCACCTCTTCTTTCCTGATCCTGTTCTAATTTGAGACCTTACTCTGTCTTATCGAACTAATGAAATCTCTTCCTCACCATCTTCCTGACCCTAGTCTCTTTCCTGCCCCACTGTATCCTATACTTTATTGTCAGGTCAATCTTAAAGTAATCAAATCCTGGGGCGCCTGGGTGGCTCAGTGGGTTAAGCCTCTGCCTTCGGCTCAGGTCATGATCTCATGATCTCGATCCCAGGGTCCTGGGATCGAGCCCCGCATCGGGCTCTCTGCTCAACGGGGAGTCTGCTTCCCTTCCTCTCTCTCTGCCTGCCTCTCTGCCTACTTGTGATCTCTGTCTGTCAAATAAGTAAATAAAATCTTTAAAAAAAAAAAAAATCCTTCCCAGCTCAGCTCCTCCACTGGCACCCAGCTCGGATTAGTCAACACTACTTTTCCCCCTTGTATCACAGTCACTCAGCATATAGACAGGTCTTTAATCCCCAACCAGACTCTAAGGCTCCATGGAGAAAGAACCTATGCTTGATAACCCATCTCAAATAGCATCTAATACAGCACTTTTCACAGCATCAGAATTAATATTTACTTAAGGAAATGCAGAATGAATGGATACCCTACCTCTGGTCTCTTTTCCAGGCACATCCCCTTTCTGAACTCTCATCTAACTAACACCTTAATCAACTATTAGTCAAATGGCATATCACCATTCTAAGAAGCTGAATGTCTGAAATAATAACCAAAAACATAAGGTGTCAGTATTTACTTAAACATATCTAAAAAATGACACTCCTCCCAAGATAGCTTTGCACGTAATTATTCTGCTGTTTCATATTGTTAGCTTTTACTTGCTAACAGAATGCCAGAAGAAAAGTTTCATCATATTTTGAGATTGATCTTCACCAAGCAATGACTCACTAGACTAAAACTTTCTCACCCCTCCCCATCGAAGCTTGCTCAAGTAGCTAATGACAGATGGAAGCAAACCTAAATGGATTATGGTTGCCCCTAACTCAAAGAAATATAGCTGTGAATCCTACTGCAATTTAATAATCCTCTCTAATTTATCTGTTGTTTTTTAAAATTTTCCCTTAAGGCAGAGGTATTGTCTTGTAGGCAAATGACATTCTCCCCCTAAACAATATGTTGGTTTAGCAATAGGAAGCTCATTCGTGAAGAACATATTCTGTACGACACACAAGTTATTAGAACTATTCGACAGAAAAAGGGGGACTGTATTTTGAGGAACTGATTAAGTCACTTTTTTTTTCTCCAGAGTAGAAAAATGCTATTTTTCCAAAATATTTTAGAATATTAAATAAAGTAGAATATATTTCTCTAAAAACGTTCCCAGGTAAATGTAAACTTTAACAGATTGATTCTTTACATATAATAAAGATATTCATCTGCCCGTCTCCTACAACCCACTTTCCAGATGGCTAAGATATGCAAATTCACATAAATAAAATTATTTATAGGTTAATGAACAAATTCAAAGTGCTCAGTGGTTTTGCTGTACTTTGATTTAAATTTCAAATAGCTAAGAATCAAGAATTTATGGAGCTAAACCATAAAACGAGGCAGCTTAGTCCGGGAAGGGTATTTTAGACATTTAGGAGTAACTCGGTATTTCGTGAGCCTATGGGAAATGCTGAAAGCATTTCACAAAGAGCTGTTTTCCATAGTTTGTTAGTCTGGAGAATACTGAAATGCTGTCATTGAGAGCATCCAGAAAAACATCTTAAGGATAGAAAAGAAAATGCCCAAAGAAAATATGAAAAGCATAAGTCCAAATTTTAAGTTAAAACTGAAGTGATGATGCTGGATAGTCAACCCTAGAGAGTAGGTCTGTCTGCCATACATTAGTGCATGCTTGGGTTAATACCCAAACTCAATTAGTTGTAGTCTGTTCCAGCCTCTCCTTTAGGTTCACTGACCTGGATATAAAATTTACACTTTAATACGGCAGATTTAATTAACCCTATTGAAATGTAAAAGATTCCACGGGGATTATAAAACACACCATCCCTTACTAATTGCCGAGCTGAATTGTGTCAAGCAACCACTTTCTCTTGAACCAGTAGAAAACTGCGGGGGCTTCCACCAACATCATGACTATCCACACAAGGCCACAGGCTTACAAAGAGGAACCATATCTCTTTCTCTTTGCCTGAACACTGAAAGGGAAAATGCACCCTACTTCTTAATTCTAGGCCAAACTTCTGGAAACTTCTGGTCTGTATTCACAGCCCAGATACGTCATGAGTTCAGTCCCCTCGGAGACAGACAATGCCGCATCTGAGGGCTCGGGTCTCAGGAGTGAGTGCACGTGCAAACTGCAGGACATGCTAGCAAGAACAATCTTGACACTTTAATTAGTTCAGCCGGCAGCCAAGCAGGAGAATGCCTCCCCCAAGAAAGATAGCTGATTCCGCCTTGGGCAAGAGGAGAAATGTTGACAATGGGAATTCTTTTTAACCTCTCTTCTTTGCCCAAAACAAATCCTAAATTTCTCCCCCATTCTTACCCCAGAGAGAGTCCTAAATGTTACACAGGACCTCAAGGAGGTTACATCATGCGGTCTAGGCCAGTCAAAACACCAAGGGCATAAATGACCAGGACTTCAAAGGCTTTGGAGGGTGGGGATGAGGGTTAGGTGCGGTTTATTCTGAAATGGGCAAATAGCTTGGTAAATCTGATTACTGATACTCACTTCAGAGGACAAAGCTTTTATTTTTCTTTCAAATCCCAGCATAGAAAGGAGAGAAGAGATCTGAAAATGGACACCTTCACACGTGAATTCACCACCAACAGGGTCCTCATGTCTGTAGAATGGCCAAATACCACCGGGGACTTTCCCCTCTTCACCACCATGCTCCTGGCGCCCTGCCCTCCTCAGCACGATCCCAGTGGGAACCTTTTACCCAAACCAAACAGCTCGGCGCCTGGACAGAAGGGAAAGGGTATAATTTCTCATGCCAAGACGCAGGAAACAGCACCTCTTCCCTGCCCACAACGCCCAGCTCCTGGCCCCCTCTCATCTCCCACCATTCTAAACTCCCCTTGCTGAGGTTTACCTTCTGCCAACTCCTCTCTTCAGCTCATTTTTAGGTTGTTTTTTTTTTTTTCATTACCACCCTACTTACTCCATTTTTCTACCATGTCCTACTTTGTACCACTCCACCGTATGTATCCACAGAAACACAGTGGTTAGGGGCGCCTGAGTGGCTCAGTGAGTTAAAGCCTCTGCCTTCAGCTCAGGTCATGATTCCAAGGTCCTGGGATAGAGCCCCACATGGAGCTCTCTGCTCCGTGGGGAGCCTGCTTCCCCGCCCCCCTCCCCACCTGCCTCTCTGCCTACTTGTGATCTCTGTCTGTCAAATAAGTAAATAAAATCTTAAAAAAAAAAAAAAAGAAAGAAAGAAACACAGCGGTTAGAACATAAAGGAGCTGTACCCCTGACCACCCACAGCTAGGAAGAGAAGGATGCTAGGTATTCCAAAGCGGAAATATAGATGAGCTTTCTCTTTCAGCAGGACTTCATAAACTTGTATCCACACTGAAGGTAAAATGGGCTTCTCTACATAAGCCAGGATTCCTAACCACATGTTTCTGCAGGAAAATGGGGTACAAGTTCAAAACATACAAATTAAAGGACCATAGAGTCATGAGCTGGGGACCCCTTGACACCACGGAAAGAAACAAATGGAAAAATCTCAAACTGATTTTAAAAATAAGAACAATTAATATACCTATGAAATACTACAGTTTGTAAAGTCTGTTACACTTATTTCCAGATCTAGGAAAAAAAGATATAAAATATCTTTACTAAAAGATTTCAATTAATTTGGGCTGTTTGGGGGTGGGGTGCTCTTAGTTCAGCACTCCCTAAAGAAAAACTTTAGATCTTAAAAAACAAAAAGCGGGGCGCCTGGGTGGCTCAGTCGGTTAAGCGTCTGCCTTCGGCTCAGGTCACGATCCCGGGGTCTTGGGATTGAGCCCCACGTCAGGCTCCCTGCTCAGCAGGAAGCTGGCTTCTCCCTCTCTCACTCCCCCTGCTTATGTTCCCTCTTTTGCTGTCTCTATCAAATAAATAAATAAAATCTTAAAAAAAATTAAAATAAAAAATTAAGATAAAAAGCAAAAAGCTTTCAAAAGCTATCCAGTGCTTTTAAGAAGGCTAGTTATCAGAAACTTGTCCAGTGAAAGTGTCAGGTTTTCAGCCAAAGCCTGCTGAATTCTCCAAACGGTGGAGTACCAAAAAGCATAAACAAAACAGCGTGCTGGAAACCGTCTATGACTGGCTTTCCTTATCTCCCCATGCCAGGGAGGTCAAAATTGAGAGGAAATAAGGCTCAACCCTTAAACAATGCATATGCACCCACTCAACTATTCCTACCGGTGTATATAAATCCAAGAATTTACATTAGCTCACCACATCTCTGGAACTGGCCGGGGCAGGGGGCAGTCCTCCCAAACACATTCAGTTTGGCAAAGCATTCCTACAAGAGGCACTCCAGTTTCACTCAGAAATGGAATGTCATTATGTAAAATCCTCTGGGGGAGGGGAAGGGAATCATTGAAAATATATTCTTACCATTCTCACTGGGCTCTGCTGCCTTGGACACTTCTCGGAACGGGATTATAACTGCATCTCCAGGCACTCTGGGGCTTTCCACATACTTGGGCTTCCTGACGGGACCTGTGGTGGAAAAGATCTAAGTGTGGCTAATTTTTTCCAGACGCAAACAAAGCTTCGGCATGTACAGTGTGTGTGTGTCCTCACCAGGACCCAAATATGCCTCAAGGAAGAGCCCTTCTCCTCCCTTGAACACACACACGATCATTCCAGGACAGACGCGGGAACGTCCAGCCTGGCTGCCAAAGCAGAAATGGGTAAGCTCAGTTTCGAGAATGTCAACTCTGGCAAAAACAAAAGCTGCTCTTTTGCTGTGAAGACGCGACAGCTGTCTTTGGTGTACATCAAGGAAGGGATTTTGACATGTTCAAACCTGGACAGCTTCTGGCAAAGGGTTTTTATTTGGAACCTGTCTCTAACTGGGACAAAGACGATTGGGTTGCTTGCTATCTCGGAAGTCAGGAGGCAAGGATTACAAACAGCCGGGCTGTAACATCCACACACTCCGAGCGGCCACAGAGCGCCGGCATTTTATCACCCTGGTGACGCACTGCGATTGTGTGGGGCAGGGAAGGCGACGGTTTTCTTGGCACATGACAGAGCCGCCTTCAAAAAGGCACAGCAGCCCGTCCGGCGTGCAACTCAGGGACACAAGAGGCCCGTCGGTCCTATTTCTCACCTTCCCCTCAACCTCAACTTATCACCGGAAAATCTGGAATTCTTAGGAAAACTGAATGGACCCCTCACCCGCCGGCGGGAATGAACAGGTGCAGCCACTTCAGGAAACGGTTTGGCAGCTCCTCAAAAGGTTACACACACAGTTATTATGTGGCCCAGCAGTTCCGCTTCTTGACTCACACACGTTCACACAGAAGTTCGCACACCCATGCTCGTGGTAGCATTATCGAGAGCCAAACGTCCATCAAATGATGACAACAAAATGTGATCTGTCCATGCAGAGGGACAGTATTGGGCCCCACAGAGGGATGGAGTACTGATTTATGCTACGACAGGATGGAACCCGAAAACACGATGCTACGTGAAGGAAGCCAGTCCCCACAGACCACATATTATATAGGAGTCCACGCGTATGGAATATCCGGAACAGGCAAATGTATGGAAACAACGAATGGCTGCCAGAGGCTGAGAGATACGCAAGTTAGTGGGGTGATGCCTAAAGGGCAGGAGACTTCTTTTTGGAGTGATTAACATGTCCTAAAATTAGTGGTGGGGGCGCCTGCGTGACTCAGTCATTAAGCATCTGCCTTCGGCTCCGGTCGTTTCCCAGGATCCTGGGATCGAGCCCCACGTCGGGCTCCCTGCTCAGCAGGAAGCCTACTTCTCCCTATGCCCCTCCCCCTACTTGTGTTCCCACTCTCACTGTCTCTCTGTCAAGTAAATTAAATCTTTAAACAATAATAATAAAATAAAATAAAATTAGTGGTGATGGCTGCACGACCTTGGGAATATACTAAAAACCGCTATAGTGTACACTTTAAATGCGTGCATTGTAGGACATGTGAATTACATCTAAATGAAGCCACATAAAAAAAGAAAAGACTGCCCATCCTGTCTGTTCCTTTCAAGCATCACATTACACTTGGCCCAGAATCACCCACTCGACTTTCATTTTCCTTGGCTGCTTTATACTTAAAGTACGCTTTTACAGGGCCACAGAGGCAGGGCATGTTCCACAGCAGTGAGGGAAAAGCTCGTGGGAAGGGAGGCAGCCAGGGGTCCGCAGCCCTCCCTCCTGCTCAGCCAACCCTCCGGCCTCGGCTCCGTCACCACACACTGGTCCAGTGAATCAGGCGGGTCCTGAGCGTCCTTGGGCATGAAACATCGTACGCCTCCAAGGAGTTCTGTTCAGACTGTGGTTTGTGGTGAGAGATGCTGCCATCTAAAGGCTTCCCGCATAAGCATCTACATCAGTATAACAATATCCCAGTTCCCAGCCGCCTACAACGGATTACACATTAAAACAGGTGACATTATCAAAGCAGCGTTTGGTGCTTGACAAATAGGGATAGTGTCTCAAACTTTACAAATCATGGTTTTTAAATGGCTAACAGTATTTAATCACATGGCCGTCTCCATAATTTACTTAACCCTGTCCGAAAGGGGATTTTCTCAAAGGTTAAATTGGAACAGTTACAGGTAAGAGGGAGAACATGTTCACAATATGAATGGAGGACGTAGGCTATGCAGCAGAATACAAAGCATTACTCAGATTTTATCTAAAATCTACACATATCCTATATCAATATACATGGAGAGAAGACTGGGGGGAGAGGCATAAAGGAAAATTTAACATATTTGCTATGGGGGAGCCACAAACTAGGAAGAAGGGCTCTAACAGGGCAGGAAAAAATGGAATCAGGACAAGCACAAGAACATTTCTACGGGGGCGCCTGGGTGGCTCAGTGGGTTGAAGCCTCTGCCTTCGGCTCGGGTCATGATCCCAGGGTTCTGGGATAGAGCCCCGTATCGGGCTCTCTGCTCAGCAGGGAGCCTGCTTCCTCCTCTCTCTCTGCTTGCCTCTCTGCCTACTTGCGATCTCTATCTGTCAAATAAATAAAAAAAATCTAAAAAAAAAAAAAAAAAACATTTCTACACTTTTGGTCCCTGACCTCTTCTCTGTGGTAAAAGAGATCACAGGGATCTTTTCCCCTACCATCTGCTATCTTCCACTTAAAGGACTCTGGGGAGGTAAAGCCCTTTATTATTTCTGCCCAATGATTCAAATTATCCCAAACAGCAACAATCCCTCAATGGTTGAGGGATGAAGGATCAAAGGTTGAGGGATGCTCAAGAGATACCTGTAAATTTCTGCTCCCCTTAACTCTTCAGGGTATAGTAACAGCAAATCTAAGCAGATCTATTTACAGGCTCCAATCTACCTACCCCATATATCCTTCAAAAATAGTCTCTGACAGTGAGTAGTCCTAAAACATGGGCCATCTCACATGGATGTACAATGGTTTTTATGAATGGCTGGAACAATGAACCCCAACATCACCCAGAGCCTTCAGAAAGCATCCACGCCCATCCATCTAATGCTCTATCACTGTGTTCGGCTCAGAGGCCAACTGCTACCTGTAAGAACTACTCCGCACTGAGGAGTCAGAGTGTTGAGAGCAGAGCCTCTGGAATTGGGCAGACCCACCTAGGTTCAAATACGGTTCCCTCCCCAGCTCGGGCCTCAGTAATATCCTCGAGATGTAAGATGACCAAGTAAGCCTCCTGTTCCAAGGGGAACATCCAGGAGAGCTAAGACGTGGATCTGATTTCCAGGCTTAGCTTAGCACTTGGCACACTAAACAGTGGCGCTAGATGGGAAAGGAGATATGCAATATCAAAGTAAAGAGAACATGTATTCAGTGGTCACACGAGGCTAAGCACTTACATACATTAATTCATTCAGTGGTAGTAACTTTGGGAGAAGAGCACTACTTGCATTTTTAGGTCAAGAAACTAAGGCTCAAATTAGTTAAACAAGCTTGTTGTGGCCCACACATGCAAAACACGAGTTCTGTGGTCCAAACAGGTTTGAAGCCCGTGTACTCAACCAGCACTTGGCACCGATAAAAGCAGGAAACCCAGATGAAACGTGCAGTCCTAGAAAAGGCCAGAACAACAGACACTTCCACCACCACCTAGTCATCCACGGACCTTGGGATAGTCAACCAATATTTTATTCATACTTGTCTCTGATCATCCCTTTTACTAAGAATTGAGATATTCTACAGTGATTACAGGCATACTTTAAATATTGGAGATACTGCAATAAAGTGAGTCAAATGAATTTTTTTGTTTCCCAGGACAGATGACATTATGTTTAGACTGTGGTCTGTTAAGTATACAATAGTATTATGTCTAAAATCAATGTGCATACCTTAATTACGAATTACTTTACTGCTAAACAGTGACTAATATCATCTGGCCTTTCAGTGAGTAGCAATCTTTTTGCTGGTGGAGGGCCTTGCCTTGATGTTGATGGCTGCTGACTGATGAGGGTGGTGGCTGTGGCCATTTCTTAAAGTAAGAATCCAATGAAGTCTGCCACATCAATTGGTGCTTTCACGAATGAATTCTCTGTCGCATGTGATGCTGTTTAACAGCATTTTTACCCACAGAACTTCTTTCATAACTAGAGGCAAACCTCTTAAATCCAACTACTACATTATCAACTACGTTTATACAATATTCTAAAATCCTTTGTTGTCATTTCAACAATCTTCATGGTATCTTCGCCAAAAGTAGATTCCATCTCAAGAAACTATTTGTTTATCTGTAAGAAGCAACCGTCCATCATCCGTTAAAGTTTAATCATGGGACCGCAGCAATCCAGTCCCATCTTCGGGCTCTACTTCTAGTTCAAGCTCTCTTGCTACTTCTACCCCATCTGCAGTTGCTTCTTCCACTGAAGTCCTGAACGCTGAGAGTCCTCCACGAGGGCTGGAATCATCTTCCGAACTCCTGTTAATGTCGATATGTTGACCACTTCCTATGAATCATGAATATTCTTAATGGCATCTGGAATGGTAAATCCTCTCCAGAAGCTTTTCAGTTTAACTTTGTCCAGATCCATCAGAGGAATCACTATCTGGGGCAGCTACAGCCTTACAAAATATATTGCTTCAATAACAACTGAAAGCTGAAATTATCCCTTGAACCATGGGCTGCAGAATGGACGCGGTGTTAAACGGCACAAAAATATTAAGCTCCTGAGACATCTCCGCCAGAGCTCTTGAGTGACCAGGTGCATTGTCAAAGAGCAGTAACATTTTCTGAGGAATTTTACCCTGAGTAGTAGGTCTCAACAGCGGGCTTAAAATGTTCAGTAAACCATGTTGTAAATAGATGTGCTGTCATCCAGATTTTGTTGTTCCATTTATAGAGCATAGGCAGAATATATTTATATTAATGCCTAGGGATCCTAGGATTTGGAGAATGGCAAATGAGCACTGATTCCAACTTTAAAGTCAGCAACTCCATCAGTCTGTAACAAGAGACAGCCTGTCCTCTTTAAAGCTTTGAAGCCAGGTATCGACTTCTCTCTT